TTCAGTAGTGACATGGAGGCTGCAGTGTCAAGCAGGAGTAGCAAGCTCACGCCGTTCAGTTCCACTGTGCACCACTTGAATGGCTTGGCACAGGAGCCTACGGAGTGAATGGTGGTCGGGCTCGACCGGTCACGTGAGCGGGATCAGGGGTTTGTCGGTGTGGGGGTCGAGTGGCACATCCTGGAGAAGTGGTTCATCTTCCCACAGCGCGGGCATCTTTGTCCGGTGGCTTTGCAAGCTGGTGCACGCATGGGGTGCGAGGTCGAGCCACAGTTGGAACAAGGTCTGCGTGTGACGGCCCCTTGACGTCCGGCCATATTTACCTCGGCACCGTCGTAGGTGGAGGTGGGACTCTGAGGGTTGAGCGGTTGGAGCGACAATCTGTCACCCTTTTCCCACTGAAACTAGTGGATTGTAGTGATCCGTGGCGACACGCAAACCCAGTGACATACAGTATTGTCTATGAAGGTTGTGTGATTGCCTTTTTGCAACTGAGCCAGCAGAGGGCAATATAACTGTACTCTACATTTGTTCGTGGTGAATGACGTAGTCAGCCATATAAAAGGGACACGCCGATGTATGGCTGAAGAAAACACCTCATCATGTTAATCATGGGATGTTAGGCAGAAGGATGCCAGTCTGCACGCGCTGTAAAGTAATCCTGCTAACATTGTCCCTTTCATATTGATCAAAACAGAAGGCGATTCTGCGCCCCCACCACCACCACCACATCCACCACTTTGCGTCTGGTTACGTCACCACGCTGTGATTGCGTAGATGATAGTGCGACAGATTTCTTGGTGGTAAACAAAGCAACGTGGAAGACTGCGGTCAAGCCAGCCTCCACTCGCAAAATCGAAGTCAAGTGAGCCGTCACTGCGATTGTCAATACTGTGTATTACGGTAATCTGTCGCCAGCGAGCGGCGTTGGCGACCTTTAAAATAAAAGAGCCTCCACTCATGGATAAACGTCATTTGTTTGGGTTCAAAGAAATTAATAAAAATATAAAATAAGTAATTTCTTGGCTGTCGGGTAAAGATTCACCGAGGAAGAACAAGAACTCTCAGAACAGCACCAATAAGCGTTCTCAAGTGGAGATCGAAAATAAAGTCAATGGTAATTCTACATCAATTTCCCCTGATATTAAAAAAAAAAACAATCTGGGTGATTGCACAACCACACCAGGTTGTCGATACACTAGGGCACACCAGGTATACAACCACAGTACTGGCATTCAGATCGAATGTTCCATTACCAATTAAAATGTCTCTCAAATATGACATTTTGAGCTCCTCTCCTTATTTCAAAAGATTCTTGAAAATGAATTTCAGTTATCCCTCAATCAAACCAGGTGTGTGGGACACTAGAGCACTCCAGGTATCCAACCAGACCACCCTCATTCGGATCTGATGTTGGCCTCTGAAAAGGAACAAGATGGCCTCCGTTCTGACATGAGCTGCATTCTAACATGTTGATCTTTTCGCCCATTTTTAGAACATCCTAAAAGAAGGAATACAGCACCCCGGCTCTCCACCCAGACCACCCTCGTCCGGATCCGATTTTGCATTTTGAAATAAAAGGCTTCTGAAAACTGGCATGTTGACCTGATTTCTGACAAGTTGGCCTGAATGCCAAACATGTTGACATTTTTGACCGTTTTGAAAAAATCCTAAAAATTGAGTGTTTGTTATCCCGTGAGGGCTGGAGGCCCGGGGATAACTACACCTCTCCGGTTATCCAACGTGACATCTCCCGACCGAATCTGATTATGCATTTGGGAATAAGAGGTCTCTGAAATGTGGCAAGATGACCTGATTTCCAACAAGTTGATCTGACATGTTGACATTTTCGACTGTTTTGAAAAAATTCCTAAAATTGAGTTTTCGTTATCCCGTGAGGGCTGTAGGTCTGGAGATAACTACAGCTCTCCGGCTTTCCAACGTGACACGTCCCGTCTGAATCTGATGTTGCATTTGGGAATAGAATGCCTCGGAATGTGGCAAGATGACCTGGGTCCTGACATATTGGCCTTAACGCCAAACATGTTGACATTTTCGACCGTTTTGAAAAAAAATCCTAAAAATTGAGTTTTCGTTATCCCGTGAGTGCTACAGGTCTGGGGATAACTACAGCACTCCGACTATCCAACGCGACCTCTCCCGTCCGAATCTGATGTTGCATTTGGGAATAAAATGGTCATATTTTCACTTTTCAGGGGCGTTTTATTCCGAAATACAACATTGGATCCGGACGAGAGTGGTCGGGTCGGATAGCGGAAGTGCTGTCGTTATCCCCCGACCTACAATCCTCACGGGATAACAAAGTTTCAAATTTTTAGAATTTTTTCAAAACGGTCGAAAATGTCAACATGTTAGGCGTTCAGGCCAACTTGTCGGCACCCAGGTCATATTTTCCCTTTTTGGAGGCCTTCTATTCCCAAATGCAACATTGGATCAGGACGAGAGTGGTCCGGTTGGATAGTCGAAGTATTGTAGTTATCGCCAGACCTACAGCCCTCAAGGGATAACTCGGATTAAATTTTTAAACATTTTTTCACAACGGGTGAAAATGTCATAATGTTGGGCGTTCAGGCCAACATGTCGGGACCCAGGTCATATTTTCCCTTTTTGGAGGCCTTCTATTCCCAAATGCAACATTGGATCAGGACGAGAGTGGTCCGGTTGGATAGCGGAAGTGCTGTAGTTATCGCCAGACCGACAGCCCTCAAGGGATAACTCGGATTAAATTTTTAAACATTTTTTCACAACGGGTGAAAATGTCATAATGTTGGGCGTTCAGGCCAACATGTCGGGACCCAGGTCATATTTTCCCTTTTTGGAGGCCTTCTATTCCCAAATGCAACATTGGATCAGGACGAGAGTGGTCCGGTTGGATAGCGGAAGTGCTGTAGTTATCGCCAGACCGACAGCCCTCAAGGGATAACTCGGATTAAATTTTTAAACATTTTTTCACAACGGGTGAAAATGTCATAATGTTGGGCGTTCAGGCCAACATGTCGGGACCCAGGTCATATTTTCCCTTTTTGGAGGCCTTCTATTCCCAAATGCAACATTGGATCAGGACGAGAGTGGTCCGGTTGGATAGCGGAAGTGCTGTAGTTATCGCCAGACCGACAGCCCTCAAGGGATAACTCGGATTAAATTTTTAAACATTTTTTCACAACGGGTGAAAATGTCATAATGTTGGGCGTTCAGGCCAACATGTCGGGACCCAGGTCATATTTTCCCTTTTTGGAGGCCTTCTATTCCCAAATGCAACATTGGATCAGGACGAGAGTGGTCCGGTTGGATAGCGGAAGTGCTGTAGTTATCGCCAGACCGACAGCCCTCAAGGGATAACTCGGATTAAATTTTTAAACATTTTTTCACAACGGGTGAAAATGTCATAATGTTGGGCGTTCAGGCCAACATGTCGGGACCCAGGTCATATTTTCCCTTTTTGGAGGCCTTCTATTCCCAAATGCAACATTGGATCAGGACGAGAGTGGTCCGGTTGGATAGCGGAAGTGCTGTAGTTATCGCCAGACCGACAGCCCTCAAGGGATAACTCGGATTAAATTTTTAAACATTTTTTCACAACGGGTGAAAATGTCATAATGTTGGGCGTTCAGGCCAACATGTCGGGACCCAGGTCATATTTTCCCTTTTTGGAGGCCTTCTATTCCCAAATGCAACATTGGATCAGGACGAGAGTGGTCCGGTTGGATAGCGGAAGTGCTGTAGTTATCGCCAGACCGACAGCCCTCAAGGGATAACTCGGATTAAATTTTTAAACATTTTTTCACAACGGGTGAAAATGTCATAATGTTGGGCGTTCAGGCCAACATGTCGGGACCCAGGTCATATTTTCCCTTTTTGGAGGCCTTCTATTCCCAAATGCAACATCAGATTTGGACGTAAGTGGTCCGGTTGGATAGTCGAAGTGCTGTAGTTATCGCCAGACCTACAACCCTTGAGGGATAACTCGGATTCAATTTTTAAGATTTTTTTCAAACGGTCGAAAGTGTCAACATGTTTGGCGTTCAGATCAATTTGTCGGAAATAAGGTCATCTTGCCACATTTCAGAGGCCTTCTATTCCTAAATGCAACATCGGATTTTGACAATAGTGGTCAGCTTGGATAGCCGGAGTGCTGTTGGTATCTTCAGCCGTCACGGGATAACTAAGTTTCAATTTTTAAGAATATTTTCAAAACGGTCGAAAATTTCAACATTTTAGGCGTTCAGGCCAACTTGTCAGAAAACAGGTCAATAAGTAGAGGAGCTCAAAATGTCATATTTGAGAGGCATTTTAATTGGTAATGGAACATTCGATCTGAATGCCAGTACTGTTGTTGTATACCTGGCGTGCCCTAGTGTGTCGACAACCCGGTGTGATTGCGCGATCACCCAAATTGTTTTTTTTTTTTTTTTTATCAATGATTTTTTTTGTGGAGGCTAGCTTGACCGCAGTGACACAAGCTTCCTGGAAACGCCCCTCCAGTTCACTGCGGTCAAGCCAGCCTCCACTCGCAAAATCGAAGTCAAGTGAGCCGCCATTGCGATTGTCAATACTGTTCATTACGGTAATCTGCCGCCAGCGAGTGGCTTTGGCAACCTTCAAAATAAAAGCGACTCCACTAATGCATAAATGTCATTTGTTTGAGTGAAAAGAAATGAATTAAAATACTGTATAAAATAAGTACTTTCTTGGCTGTCGAGTAAAGATTCACAGAGGAAGAACAAGAACTCTCAGAACAGCACCAATAAGCGTTCTCAAGTGGAGATAGAAAATAAAGTCAACGGTGATTCAACATCAATTTCCCTTGATATTAAAACTAATTCAACATCAATTTCACTTGATATTGAAAAAAATCATGAAAACAATCAATCTGGGTGATTGCGCAACCACACCAGGTTGTCGACACACAAGGGCACGCCGGTATACAACCACACTACTGGCATTCAGATCGAATGTTCCATTACCAATTAAAATGCCTCTCAAATATGACATTTTGAGCTCCTCTCCTGATTTCAAAAGATTCTTAAAAATGAATTTCAGTTATTCCTTAATCAAACCAGACCTGTAGGACACTAGAGCAGTCCAGGTATCCAACCAGACCACACTCATTCGGATCTGATGTCCTCTGAAAAGTGACAAGATGGCCTGCGTTCTGACATGACCTGCATTCTAACATGTTGATCTTTTCACCCATTTTTAGAACATCCGAAAAGAAGGAATCCAGCACCCCGGCTCATCACCCAGACCACCCTCGTCCGGATCCGATGTTGCATTTTGAAATAAAAGGCCTCTGAAAACTGGCATGTTGACATGATTTCTGACAAGTTGGCCTGTAGGTCTGGGGGTAACTACAGCCCCCTGGCTATCCAACCCGACCACTCTCGTTCAAATCCAATGTTGCATTTGGGAATAAAACGCCCCTGAAATGGGAAAATATGACCTTATTCTCGAAAAGTTGGCCTGAATGCCTAACGTGTTGACATTTTCGACCGTTTCGAAAAAATTCTTAAAAAATAACCCTTGGTTATCCCGTGAGGGCTGTAGGTCTGGGGGTAACTACAGCCTCCCGGCTATCCAACCCGACCACTCTGGTACGAATCCGATGTTGCATTTGGGGATAAAACGCCCCTTAAATGGTAAAATATGCCCTTATTCCCGAAAAGTTGGCCTGAACACCTAACGTGGACATTTTAAACTGTTTTTAAAAAAAAATATGAAAAAAGAAACCTTTTTTTTAATATCCAGTGAAATTGATGTAGAATTACCATTGACTTTATTTTCTATCTCCACTTGAGAACGCTTATTGGTGCTGTTGTGAGAGTTCTTGTTCTTCCTCTGTGAATCTTTACCCGACAGCCAAGAAAGCCAGAAGTTTTTTGAAATTAGAGATAGTTCTTATAATTTTGGGGGTACCAACCAATACAAAAAATCCAAAACAAGAACAAACATCAAGCAAAGGTGCGTATCAGTAATAGGTGTCAATCTGTGGAATAATTTCGAAACGGGCCTGAAGATGAGTAAATCGCTGGTTGAGTTCAAAAACAAATTCAAAAGATTAGTACAAAAAAAACTACACAAATCAGAGTTAATAAGATACATTTGATATACTTATAAAATATAGTAATTCAACAGAATTACATTGATCAATTTATTAAATATATTTAAGAAATGCAGTACTTATAATGAATATAAGAAAATTGATATATAAAGGAGAAAGAATGAGTATATATATACAAACCGAAAGGTGTATAAATAGATAAGTGGAGTACACAAAAGGGTAAAAGTATTTGATGATATGTAGATTTTTT